AGGAGCGGCTGAAAGGGGCTGCGTCGGAGTTGAAAGGGCCTGGATGCGAAAGGTGGACGAGGTCAGGAGTCGGAGGGAGGCCGGGCTGACTGGCTATCACGGGGCGTTGAAAGAGGTGGAGGGCCGGATTACTGGCTTGTTAACCCGGCCTGGCGTGAAGCCTCTAGATGGGGAATTCTTCGCGTCTCTGCAGTCGCGGCCTGGTGGGCAGGGCGGGTTACCCGAGTCCCCTGGAGGGACGGAATTCTTGCGGCTGAGGCCGGAGAGGAGGACAGCGGAAATGGCGAGGGAGTGGTGGGAAGGGGAGGTGGACATACTGGAGAGGAGGAAGGAGGAGGTGGATAAGGAGAGGGCTGCTCTCGAGGCCGGCGTGGAGGTGTGGACTGGAGCGGTGAAGCTTGTGTCAGACTTTGAAACGGAGTTGAGGAAGGAGATGAATGGGGTGGGAAACAATGCGACGAGCAATGGGAAGGGCAAGGGAAGAGAAGGTGATCCGCCGTCGCCGACAGCACCCGAACAAACTATGTATGCGCAGCTGGACAAGATGCGCGCTGTGATGAGGGGCCTGGAGGAGCGGTTACAAATCACGGAGGAGAATGGGTGGAACCTGCTCATATGCGCTATCGGCGCCGAGCTGGAAGCGTTTAAGCAGGCGGAAGGTATGCTGCGCGACACGTTACGCGCTGCGGGTTTTGACGTCGGTGATGATGATGACGGCCGAGATCAGGGTAGCTCCACGCCACATATCGGGAGATCTACAAACCTGAGGAACTCGGGCCAAGAGCTGGATGGTGCAAGGCATAACGATAACGGCAAATTGGTCGACTTGCACGATGAGCCCCGCGAGCTCGACACCAGGGAGCCTGAGAGCGACAATGAAGTGCCCTCCGACCTGCTAGTCGGCCCGGACGAGGGTCACGAGCTGGCAAGCCCTGCGCTGAGTAGGGAGAGTAATAATGAGGTGCCGCCCGAGTTTTTACGGGAGCATCGTTCTGATGAGGAGTACCCGGGATTTCGGGCTATGACTTAACGAGTGGGGTGTTTCTGCGTAGCTGGAAACAGAGATGGAGCTTGTAGGGAGATAAAAAACTGCATCATAACTAATTCTGAATTACCTTAGTTATTGACCAACAAGTTTGTTCGCCGGTCACCCACCGATAGGCAAGGGTTTCTCAGTTTCTGCTTGCGTCATTGATAAACAACGATCAATGTGGCGCCGCGTTGACGGGTTTAGATCCGGATCCCGCGGTTCTCGTCTCGTCTCCATGGACTATGCTCATGCGTACGGTGGCTGCAGAGGATGGCATCATTCAACACCTCAGTACGTCATTTCCGTCTGATATACAGCGTCACTTGATTACCTATAGGGTCTCTGTTTCTTCCACTTGTGAAATAGTGTCCTGTATTGTGCGCAAGGTCTTGCGAAACTCTATCTGAGACTTCCCCTCGACCCAGATTAAGCTTTCGCGATTTTCCCTCTGCCCATCCGCCAACCCCCAGAACGAAGAAGCTACGATCTACCACACCTCGTATCACATTTATGGTGCCTCGGCGTCGAATATATTCTCTTTCTTTTTCAATTACCTTCCCGATCAAGCCCATGGCCAAAAGGAAAAGGGATATCGAGGCCCCCAACCTCGGCCGCTCCGTGCGCGCGAACCCGTTCGGCCACGCCGAGATGGATCTGAACCCCGATTACGATGAGGTCCACCGAGATGCCGACAACGATGAGACGGATGGAGATGCCGACGACGATAAGATTGATGGAGATACCGTCAACGATGAGACGGGCGGAGACTCCGGAGAGGCCAACAACGAGGAGATAAACATGTACATCGACAATAGCGTAATGCAGCAGCTGCAGTCAAGCCAGCGCGTAGTTCAGAACGTTATCGATGAACTTCGTCGCCTCGGTGTTGATCATTATGTCGAACCCCCTCAGGTTGTTGTGGTCGGAGATCGGTACGCCGGCAAGACCTCCGTCCTAGAAGCCATTTCTCGCATCCGCCTCCCCTTCCAGGATGACGTCTACATGGCCTTTGTCACCGAGCTGGCGCTCCGTCGGAGCCCGCAGACTAAGGTCGCAGTCAGGATTCGGACCGACGGTCGTGATACTTTCAATAGCTCCGGCCTCCAAGAATCTGACCTCACGCAAATCCTTCAGGGGGCAAAACAACACATGGGCATTTCTAACCGCAGCGCCGGACTCTCAGAAGATTCCAGTGTGCTCCGCATCGAGATTGCTGGACCAGCCCTTCCGCAGTTGACGTTCGTCGACTTGCCTCGTTTCTGCCATGCCGAGACGGGAAGCCAGAACAATGGCAGCGTGGGACATGCCAGCCGTCTAGCTGAGAAGTACATGTCACAAGAGAACACCATCATTCTTGCAGTATTCTCAGCCCAAAACGACCTCACCGCCCAGAAAGTCCTAGGCGAGGCTAAAAAGTATGATCCCGGCCTGGACCGTACTCTGGGAATCATCACCAAGCCGGATGAGGTCGAAGATCAATCCACAAAGAGGTGGACTTATTTGGAACTTTCTCAAAATGAGGAACCCTCGCACAGACTCAAACTTGGGTGGCACGTCCTGCGTAATCTGACCAAACAAGAGGCAGGTTCCACGGAAATAGAGTGTGTGGCAAGGGAGTACCACTTTTTCCAAGGTGGCGTTTGGGCCATGGTTAGCCCTGAGGATCGTGGAATCCAAACGCTGCGTGGAAAGCTAAGCCGGGCCATTCTCACTCGCATTCAGCGGCAGCTTCCCGCCGTCATCGCCAACGTTGAGGAGTACATCAAAACCCGCAAGGAGCGACTGGATAGGCTGGGACCACCGCGGTGGTCAGCCGCCGACATCAGAAAGTACTTGATCGGCATCAGCAATCGCTTCCAACGCGTGGCACACAACGCGATTCAGGGAAATTATACCGACGACTTTTTCGGCGGACCGTATCCAAAGCCGTACACACCAGCACTAGAGGGCGACAGAAGAATTAGGAAACTCCGCGCGTTGGTCAGGGACCTGAACCGGGCCTTCTGGCTTATCCTTACGACCAGGGGTAGCCGGCGTCAAATCGACTTGGGCGACCGGAATTCGGTGGCGACGCCCAAACACCTGGAACCTCTTCTCGCCCTTTACGTCCTAGGTGAACGCGTTTCCATTTCCATCCATGACCTCACCAAAGAGCTCGACAATATTGCATCAGAGAACCAGGGCGTTGGGCTCTCAGGCTCTTTGAACGATACGGTAGCCTTGGCCTTGTTCCGGGATCAGTCAGCCCCTTGGATTGCGATAGCTGGGCAGCATGTTAAATTCGTCGTCCGCTTTTCACGAAGGTTCGTCGAAGAACTTGTGATCCATATCGCTGGGCCAGATTGGACAACTGCCAATGCAATAATCGAACATCTTGTGGTCCCTTATTTCGAACAGAAACAGGCCACCCTTCAAGCAAAAGTATTGGAGCTGCTTCAACACTACAAAGCCGGTTCGGACCCTCTGCCCTTGTCCAACGATATCTTTCTCGATCGCGTGCCAAAGCGACGGAGCGAGTGGTTTTTAGGACAGGGCCAGCAAGTCCCAAAACGTTTCAAGATCTCTAGAAACGATGAAGATTCGGATGGCAGCACCGACGCGACTCCCGAGGTGCTCCAAGCCTCATCCGAGGTCACCAGCCAGTTCAACACTGAGCAGACGATCGACAATGCGATGGAATACTATGATGTAAGTGTGAACCTCCAAGTTTAGGCCTGTCACTAACCCGAAATACAGACGTCATTAAGGGTGTTCGCCAACAATGTTGTGACGTTAGGCCTCGAGAACTGTCTGATTTCCGACATTCCCAACATCCTTTCTCCGGAGGTTGTGTGCAACCTGACTGACGACGAGTTAAGGAGGCTTGCTGCTGATTCCAAGCAGATCCAAAGCGAGAGGGAGGAGCTTCAGGTACAAATAGGCAAACTGCAATGGGGGCTTGGTGCCTGTCGCCAGCATAGGCCGAGACACTTGAACGGTTAGTCCCATCCATCTCACCCCCCTCATGGAGGTTTCCATGTCTCCAACGGAATACGGCAGGTTGGGGGTAGTGTGAATACAGTCTAACAGACATTCCAGGTATGATGGCAACACAACCTGTCCTCCCCAAAGCGGAGCCAGAGAGTGAGCGGCAATTATCTCCATTGGAAAGAATAGCGCCCGTCTCGACCCAATCCAACCCGGCCCCAACCTTCCCATCATTTGCCAACAGTATCTCGACTGACAGCCGAGAGCCAACTTCTCAAGCGACTGGCAAGCTCGCTACAGGCCACCACACGGCGGAAGCCGCACGGCTTACACCCAAAGAAAGCCAGCAGAGTACCCCGGGGAAAGCCTTTTTTGAATTGGCGCCGCCGCCTAGCTCGCCCAACACTGAGAACGTTGCTCGCTGCACCTCGCTTTTTGATGTCTTCAACCCCTATGGGCGTAATATCTCGCTGCCGGTCAGAATGCCGCCGCCAAATCCTTTCTCTTTCTTTTGGAAGACCCCGCCCACTGATTCCGGGGCCAGCGGCACGTCGAACACTGGGATCACCGGTACATCCAATACCGCGGACACTGTTCTCCGCCCCTCGCCTTTCGATGTTCCCGGCCACCATTCAGTGCCTATCGTCGAACACCCGTATGGCGGACGCAAGCCTGATTCTCCCGATTTATACAATGGAGACGAGCTTTCTAATCTCTATGACAATTACAATAACGCTGGTCCCGGCGCCAGCGGCACGCCGCCGCCTGGGGATGGGGAGGAGACGGGGACCATTTCTGACGGCGTAGGCATGTTTTTTGACGCCCCTGACCTGCCTGGTTCAGCTTGGTCCCCTTTTGAATTCAGTTAGGTTGTAGCGAGCCAACTAAAATGGAACGGCTCGGCAGGCAGCTAAAGAAAGCGAACAATTTCCGGGGTCTTAACCCCCTTTCACGGCGCTTGACTCGTTCAGTACCCCTCGGCACACTACGGCTGCTCTTGGAGCCACTGAGCTAGCCATGTACCTGTTGGAAAGCTTTGTCGGATTATGGGCTCGGAAGGGGTTCCTGTGTGTTCAATGGTGTGGAAGTCTTTTGCGTATAGAGCAGGTTGTGTAGGCGGGGTTGTGGACCGGATGGACATGTTGGAAATTCGAATGTTGGTTTTGGCAACTTCCAACAACTCGAGTCGAAAGGGAGAGAGCTATACGACACCATGGGAGAGGTAGACAAAGCTGCGGTTTTATCTCTAGGTTGGATATTACTGAATATTCTGCCGCTAACTTCTGAGTTCCGGTGAGGTGACATCCGTGAAATGATGGACATGCCTGTGCGGTTACCATGGGATCGATATCCACTCAACATACCTAGGTAGGTATGGTCTTGATTACATTCTAGTTACTGAACTGCCCCAAGCACAACCCCCCCTCCAACCTTCGCCCCAGCTGCCTTACCACCCCCACATCCCACACCAACCCCCCCTCCCCGCCCCCAACCCCAAGCCTACACAAGGTGCAATTGCTGGCCCGCAATTGCGACAACCTTCTCTTGTTCCCGACTTCCATTACCCACGTTCAAAAAGCCCAAATCTCCCTTTTCTGATCTCTCCCCCCCAAATCCACACCACCTAGGTAGTCTACAACCAAACCTGAACCTTACTGACCAACCCAACAACAAACCACCCGCCACCACCATGCCCCCCGCACGTCACGTCCATTCTATGGGATAGGTGAAGGAGAAGATGATACTCGCCTCACAGTTGGTTTTGTCCCATTGGGAAATACGGCACTGAGGTGGGGTGGGGACTGGTCGGGGGATGTTGTCTTAAGGCCTATTCAGCCCTGATTTTACACTTTGGGGGGAGGGAGGGGGTGAGCCGGATGTCGGTTAGGTGGGAGCGGTAGAGTTCGAACTGCGGGGAGGGGAGACGGGGTTAGTGAATTTGGGATGGGATCCGGGGTGGTGCTCTCTTGGGGTTAGGCGAGGGTGGGAGATGGTGTTTATATGGACGGGGAGCGTAGATACCTTGACAAAGTTGATGAACTTGACCCTGCGTAACCACTTCCACGGGCTGGGGCCTCGCTTGGATGCGTAGTAGTGCCGGAGAAGCTGAAAGAACTCCTGGTCCGAGTTGATGCGGCAGATCTTGGGCTGGTGCAGCTTTGTGGCGACCCGCATGAAGGGGAGGCAGAGCAGCACAAAGTCATGGTCCCCGCCGCCATCTGTTTCTGTGAGGGAGCACGCTCCGATGGGGATGACTTCTTTCTTCTTCTCTGGACGGTAGCGCGAGAGGTTGGTCCCCTTTTTCCCGGCAACTGCTCGCCTGGTTAAGCTACTGACGGCTTGTGGAAAGGCCTGCTTCCAGTCTTTTGGCTACTCTGGGGTGTTCTCAACGTCAAATATCCCCATGTCGCTGTCGCCAATCGTGTCCTTGCCGTAACGTTGAAGCAGGCTATGCAACTCGGCCAGAGCCCCCGGCCGGAGCTCGACAAAATCGTCATACAGCTCTTTGCCACATGCCTAACCTGCGCTATGTCAGCTTTCTATCTACCACTGACTCAGGTACAATACTAACGCAGGTCCAGTGAAGTCAGGTGCTGTTCTCTGGCTTCAGTTCGGTACGCCAAACTCTTGCCATGGTATTCTCGAACCACAGCTTGGAACTCTTCCAAATACCGGTTCCAAACGCAGACGTTTGCGGCGCCCGAACTCTGACTAGTGCCTTCACGCTAGCTTGCAAGGAGAGAATTGGCTCGGTCCGAAAGAGGAACGCTTCAGCTGCTTCAGGGATGAAGAGCGAATCATCCTCGGGGCTGCTGTCACTATCTTCGGCCGGGGGTGCGTATCCGCCATCCTGCTCGCCTAACCTTTCATTGTCTTTCTCAGCCGACCGCTGCTCGGAGAAGTCGTAGTGGGCTTCGCAGAGGCGCTGTGCAATATTGGCGCGGGATTTGCGAACAAACCTGGCAGCTCGGATGCGCAGTGTCCTTTCCTCACTGGTCACCGTCTCATTGGAGGGCTCGTTCATAGCAAGCACGCGTAAATCACCCGCGTAGCGCCGGAGCAGCCGCTCGATGGTGCGTTGGGCCCCGCTTCCAAGTTGCTGATCGAACAATGAGCTGCGGCCACAAGAACCGCAGGTCCCCAAAATATAGCAGCTTGGAAAACAGTAAACCGATCGTATCGCCGTCTATGGTTGTCGCGGTTGAGGCAACGGAGACGACACTCTCGCCATCCGAGTCATCGTAGCTATCGGAGTCGTCTGAATCGGAGGGCACCCACTTGAAGTCGCCCCCTTCTGGGGCGTCTGTAGCATTGGGTCGTTTGAATTCCTCGTAGGTCTCCGCCACAGAGGTAACAGGTAATGTCGCTGGTTTCATGAGAGTCGGTGCGCTGAGATCGCCCTTGGACCCGCCGCCCGGTGCGGTCAACCGGTTCCCGTCACGACGTCTTGGTTCGGGACGCCTGCTGTCCTCAAAGCTCGCAAACCCAGCAGGAGCACCACGGGCCACATCTGAGCCCTCGTGGTAGCTGCACGTGTATCCAACCCGGATGATCCTTCGAGAGATCTCGTGGTTCCGCCGTCCATATGCCGCGCATCTGTTAACGGCGTGTTGGTAGTATAGATATCCACAAAGGTTGTAAAGCTCGATGAGCTGGAAACACATCTTTGATCAGCTGGGAGATAGTCGAAAAGTGAAGTGAAAAATGTGTTGTGTGTCAAATGAAGATTTATTCTTTTCAGGGGTACCGCAAGGCTTTTTGGTAGGCTGTCATATGGTGTTTGAAATGCAAGGCTTATGCCGTATAACGTCGGATTGTTGTCGTCCACGTTGATTCGTCAGAGACATACTTGTGCTGACATTCTGTTACCTAAATCGAAGTTGAAATGTTTCCTCGTTTAATGGATCCTCATAACTTCAAGTATTACCGTGTGAGGTTATTAGTTTCTCGAGTGATGTGCAATTTCTGTGCTGTCCCTCGATGTATGATTCAAGTGATCGTCTTGTTTATACACACACATGTGATTAACAATAATTTGGGACGAAGGTCAGTTCGGATCTTACATACCTGCCCCAGCCATCCCCTTTCTCACCACCTCAGAAAGCATATCTAGGTACACCTAGTAAGCACTTCCACCCCCCAATTTCCCCCCTTTTCCCTCCCTCATCCCAAACCATAGACAACAGACCTCACCCAACAATTCTCACCCCCACCTTACTTTTCTAGATCTTCCCTCCACGTACACGCACACCGACCAAACCAACCCCCCTCCGCCCCCACCCCCGCCCAACCAAATACCACTAGGACACCCAGCCTTGCGAACCCGCAACCAAACCCACCACCTCAAGGACGTGTCCATGCCTGCCGGTGCTGTTGAACGCACGCGGACATGGCGCAGCTGTTCCACAACTTGGCGGCCGCGACCGCGGCGGCGGTGGAGGTGTGTGATGGGGGCGAGGCGGGGGGGAAGGAGGTTTGTCGTAAAAGCGAAGCTGTGATAAGGAGGGGGGAGGGGGGGGGAGGGGCGCGTCTGACGGGCTGTTGGGTGGATGAGCCGGTGGTAAGAAGGAATAACTGAATAAGATGGTGGGCTGTGGTGGTGAGGAGAGGCTGGGAGCAGTGGGGGTGAGGGTAACGGAAGCGGATCTGGTATTGAATAAATAGCAACGGGGGTGGTGTTAATAGTCAATGCAATGACTCTCTAGTCCATAGGTGTTGGATTCGCCACATGGAATCTTCTGGTGGATACCAGCAACTGATCTCTCAGGGTGGCTTAATGCTAACACTTTGCCCATCGCCACTGTGGCATGCTGTGGCAAACCATAGCATGGAGTATATATAGCCCGATTTCTCTTCCTCGGATCAGGAGAAAAAAAAAACAATCAATCAATTCTTTCTCCCCATCTTTCGATCTGAGTGTCGTTTCCAACAATAGGGTTGGGGGCCTATTGTATAACGATGCCCGTTACGATCAGGTGGATGCTGGGTGGTAGACGTGGGGACTTGGGGTGTATAAACCAATAGCATATCTATGTACAAGACGGGATTGAATTTTGAGGATGAATAATGGGATAATACCTATGTTGCTTGGGTTGAAAATACGGCCCGGTAATCCACCTTACCTTGGTTCTCACCCCCGTTTTCGCAACCAGGGCCGTCGTCAATCCGCAAGCGGTGCCTGGCACACTAGACTAGGACAATGGAACTCAGCTTGCACTTTACATGTCCCAACTTAAAAGATATCCTCCCCCTCCGCGGCATTCACACCCTCCCTCACCACCCTCTCCACCGCCTTCTCCGCATCCTCCTCCCCATCCACCAAATCCAACCACGTATTCCCGACCCCCTCACTCGCCAACAGCAGATCCGCTACACGAGCGACGGTCTCACGGCTCACATCCCCCCTGGAATGCGTCGTCTTGCCCAATTCCACAGGGCCGGCAGGCTCGAGGGTGAGGGTGCCGGGGCGGAGATTGATGGCAGCAAAACCGGGACGGTTCTTGGCAGCCAGGTACAGGGCCTCGTCGGCGGCGAGCTTGGCGCGGTAGTAGTGCGGCAGGATCTGGTTGTTGACGTGCTGCGCCGCAGCCCAGGCGTCGTCGGACCACCAGGCGGGCCGCGCGCGCCGCGAGGCGAGGAACGACACCATCAGGAACCGTGTCACCTGCGGAGTGGCGGCGGAGGCGTGGATGAAGTGCGTTGCGGCGTCGCGGTCGATGGCGTAGGTCTGGGGTCAGAACTTAGTTTTGACTTCACCTGGAGGGTATCATGTACGTTCTGTATGGACCAATAAGATGTGACGTCACTCCGAGAGGTAGCTTACCCGGTCAGGTCCGCCTTTTCCACCAGCACCTGGGTAGAAGGACACCATCATCAGCAACAACCCCGCAAACCAGCCCCCGCAAGAAGAACAAGAAAAAAAAAAACAAAAAAAAAAAAACTCACCAGCACTCCAAACCACAAAATCCGCCCCCACCTCCCGCACCACCTCGCCCGCCTCCCCCTCACTCTTCACCTCCTCCAAGCTCCGCACCAGCACATTCAACTTCCCCTTGGGGGCATCATCATCCCGATCTCCCCGGTTAGCGTTCGCCAGCCCCTCGATAGTGGCGACCTGTTCCGGGGCGCGTATGACACTGGTGACGTCCCAGCCGCGGCGCAGCAGCAGCGGGGTGAGCAGCTGGGCGATCTTGCCGTGGCCGCCGAGGAGGAGGACGTGGTGCGGGGCGGGGGGCATGGTGGTGGCGGTGGTTTGTTGTTGGGTTGGTCGGTAGGTTCAGGTTTGGTGGTAGATTACCTAGGTGGTGTGGATTTGGGGGGGAGAGATCAGAAAAGGGGGATTTGGGCTTTTTGAACGTGGGTAATGGAAGTCGGGAACAAGAGAAGGTTGTCGCAATTGCGGGCCAGCAATTGCACCTTGTGTTCGGTCGGCATCGCGGAAGCCGCCTGGAATTAGGTCATGGTGCATATTCCCATTTAAACCCCGCCATGCGCCGTCCTCCAATGAGCGTCCCAGTTCTCGGCGGTTCGTGGCCCTTTGCGCAGAAAGGAAAAGAAAAAAGGACAAAGACGCACGCTTCGACAAAAGCCCTGGGAGAAACATATTAAGAGATCCTGAATGTAACGGCAGTCCGACTAGAGGCCTCGAAGGCTTTCCCTATGGAGAGACGGTAATAGTTAGCAAAACCCAACCTCGATCACCAGCATCCCTGCAATCGATGGCCCCACCTTCCACATTGGGAATTCGACTTCAAGCCCTCCAAGTCGCGACGCGCCCCTGGGCATGTAAAGCTCTGGATATAGCATGTGTGATGAAAGGGTAAGGGCTGTCATATCTATAAAGTCGACAATCAATTTCAATGGTAACGACGGAAGCTGTTACGAAGCTAAGGTGCTGGCCGTCGCGGGGGATAGGGACCTGGGGGTGTCGACAAGGGTCTAGTTCTACGAATGCTGACCGACGACATGGCGATGCCGTAACGGCCTCGCTTTTTATGAGATGATTTTGTGATGGCAGACAGGGGCGCACGATATGCGCATGTACGACAGCGGGCTCGTGTCTAGGAGTAGAATTGAAGGTTACCTTGATGTTAACATCCAAAGCATCGCAGTAAATAGCAGGACAAAGAGAACACTTACCCGGGGGGGGGGGGGGGAAGGGGGAACGGCTGAGGTCAAATTCGTAGTCTGGGATAGATGTCGGTGTCTCGGGTAAATTCCAGCGCGCGAACTGTAATTTTGCGAGGGTGGAATGAGCAACTGTGACAGAAGCAGTTAGCTTACGAGCACAGTTAAGCACAAGGCGCGCATCGGCCTCAGGCTTACTCCCCGCCCATATATCGCACATCCCCATTACAATTTAAAATAGCAAAAAGAAGGCTGGTGACAAACCAGAGATATACACACAAATTAGATCAAATCTTGATAAATAAAACTAAACCGGCCTCACTCGCCCAATGTATAGGTCTAAGCACTCAGATTTCACTGGAGTTTGGCTTGGTAGATAGCAATCATGGGAATGCGGTTGTTGCTGCAAGAGGCGCGCAGAATGGGCAGGGGATGAGAAGGGAGCTGGGCCCAGGGACAGACGACAGGTTTTACGCCGCCTGTTCCTGAGTCCACCAGTGTGGAGGAAGAGACGACGCCCCTGGCCGTGGGGAGGGAAGGGGGTTCGATCGGTCGCTGGGTTGGTGCCTGGCCATTTCGGGAGCACCTATTGATAATTAGCAGCATCCGCTCTTAATGAAGGAAAGCAAACAAATACAATCGACAGGCAAACAAAACAAGAAAAGTAAACAAAACAAAACGAGGTATGTAAACAAAACATAACGAGGGAACCATGTCAACAGACGCGCTGTAGTGGGAAATACAATTCGCTGGGGAGGAAAGCAAAGCGTCGCTGAAGCCTCCACTCGAAGAAGACACTCGCACACTCACTTACGCGGGGGATCCGGCCCCTGCTCCGTCTCCAGTTCCGGCTCTGGGCTGCCGAGTGCGGGGTGCTTGTCGCGGTCGCGCCGGGATCGGATCGGGTAGCCGGCCATGTTCTGCAACATGTGCTTGCGGGAGCGGCGAAAGAGCAGGCGAAACACGAGAGCCTCGGCGTCCCAGGGATCGATGTGTTCCGGGTCGAGGAGCCACCGCACGCGTCGGGTGCCCTGCCACTTGGTATGGGCCACTCTCCGGGGGTCGATGGTCTCGATGTCGTCCACGACCTCCTGCTGCGTCCGTCCGCTCCTGAACGCCTGGACAAAGCGCGCATGGGCCAGCGCCTTCATCCACTCCGGGCGGGTGATCGGATGCGGCGGGACGGGGGATCCGGAAACCAGGCAGCGCGCGTCGTCGGCGAACCGGATGGGGAGGACTTGGCGCGTCGCGCCGGCGGACTTCAGGCAGCTCTTGGGCCGCTCGGGGTCGGGGACGTCGGCGGGCCAGGGCCAACGCCAGCCGGGAGGGCGCATGCCGGGGAGCACGGCGGCGACGGGGTTGGTGGCCGGGGGGTTGGCCGCGGGCGAGGAGGTGCGGGACTCCGAGGGTCCGGTGGGAGCCATCTCGGAACGAACGAACGACGGGTCACAGAAACTGTGAAAATCAGAAAAGAAAAAGCGAACGGGTGGGAACTTAAGTTCCAATCAACGAGTGGCAAGTTGCAAAGCGATGCGCGGGCGAACTTGGCGTTGTCGTGGTCGAATGATCCCTTGGTGCGGCTTGCAAACTTGGGAGGAGAAGAGGAGGAAAGGGCGGGGGGTAGCCAGGTGTTTATCAAAGTGGGCAACGAGTGCGAAGGCGGCGCATGGACCCTGGTCAGGTGGGCCTTGACATCCCGAATATGGCACCTGCCGACAGTCAACGAGAATTAAACGGAGCAAAGAAATCTCTAAGGCTCATTTGTCAAGAAGTCTTATGCGACCATCATTGAACTGTCCCTCGCTTGTCCGCGGTCTTCACCCGACCCCTCATGCTTAACGTATATTTTATAATCCATGATGTTGCTATCCATAATTACATGTAGCGTACAAGTAACAAGTTATGATCAGTTGGCTCTCCATGGTTGTCCGTTGACACTTGGCCCATCTGCCTGGCGGGCCGCCAACCCCGTTTGCAAGTGCCGCCTCCGCTGTTGTTAGGGGAATGATATTCACTGCTAACACTGTACTGTAGGTCGAAGCAATACTGTATCGGCCTCCCTCTCGACTCTGAGTGTTCCCGTCGTTGTGGGTTACAGCCCGAGCTAGAATTGCAGAACAATTTGAACTCCTTTCCTAGGCAAGAACACCGACAGGTAGAGGATGAGGAGTCCATTCATACTTGGTTTTGTTAAGTGTGAGGTTTTCTTTCAGGTTAAGAGAGTTCTGCAGAGGCCCATTCACATAAGTAGCACGATCTAAGATAAGAGTTGGAAAGCTTTGTTTCCAATTCTCAAGTTAAAATCCGAACCAAACGGCGCCCCCACTCCATTGTTCGGGGAATGAATTACAAAAATCTCTCCAATTCACAACATGCTTTCAAAATCAGAGAACTCCTCGCACCAATGACCCAGATCAGGCTTCCTTGTTTTCAGTCTCCACTTCAAACGCAGCGAGATAACTTACTTCTTTTTCTGCTTTTTGTACGTTTCCCACGCTCGAAGCACCGTTTCTGGTTCTGTCTCCTTGATGCGTATCTGACTGAGCGGATCCTGCTCCAGCTTCCTCTCGATGATTTCTTCGTTGGTCACTGCACCACAAGTCAGTTAAAATCCCAAACCTGTTCGAGCTTCTCACCGTCCCAGGCCATACGTTCAAAATAGGATAGAAATCGTTGATGTTCGTCATAGCCATACTCGACGAACCTTGCTGTGTCGGACTGAGCTTTCTCTTTTTCTCGCTTCCGCTTCTATTCTTCCGTGGGTCCAATGCCTTGATTGCGCGAGTTGATTCGGTTCCATTCTGCGGATGATTCTGCTCGAGCCTTTTCTCGATCGATGATGTACTCGGCCGTAGTGTGTTTGTGGTAAGCGCAGCGGGCCTTGAACCATGGATCGACTGGAGAGTTGTAGTCACCAAAGTCGAGCAGAATGCCGGGCCCTTGCCAGTTCACTTCGTGCATCCCTTGACACGGGTGAAATCCAATGCGGTAGAAGAAGTCCAACTAGCTCTGAACTGAGTCGCACTCGAGCTTTGCCTTGGGGACATACTCGTACACAATGGCGTAGTATTGTGCGTCAGATTCAAGGTAGCTGGCAGAGCCCTCACCTTTCCGCCTGACATACTCGTCTACCTTTATTATGCTGTTCATGCGCATGAAATCAACTCCTTGAACGCGGGTCCACCCGAAGCATTTGCGGAGCCGGGTGTCGGAATCGGACACTGCAACCTTGGAATCGTCCGGGAGCGCGTCAAAATCGCGAGAGCGCCGGCCGTCGGCTGAGAAGGCGTAAAGACAGCGCAGGCAGTCAAGTCGCGTCGTTCGTTTGGCGGGGACGTGGATGGGTTTCGGCGAGGACTGGCGGATGCCGGCCTGTATCTTGTCCAGGACCGCGACGTTCCGGGCCTCGCGCTCCAGCGACCACCAACTATTGGCGCGGTCTCCATCTGGGAGCGCATGAAAAAACTGCGGGCGTCCACGTCAGTCAAGTCTCCGAGGCTGGTATAGATGCACAGAGTTGCTCAACTTGATCCACCACATACGATCTTGAGGGCGAACGACGACTTGTCGTCATCGAAATTGACTCTGGCCACACAGCCCTCAATTCCATGACCAAGCCTATTCCGCATCGTGACCTTGTTGTAGGCGCGACGAAAACGTCGAAGCTGCGGCGAGAGGAAATCAGCCCAGTCGCAAGGGGGGTCGCCTTGCATGGGTGTGTCTGATAAGAATGGCGGAATTTGGATGGATGATGATTCTGACTCCATCGTTCCGCGAAGTGGCGAATTGGATCTCGGGGGTTGATGCGAAGCAGCTTTTGCCCTTGTGAATTGCTGGTTGATGGATCAGTCGAAGAAGTCAAAGCGGTGTGACGGTTGCTTCAGGCACTGCGGGGAAACAGCTCGGCTGGTCTTGGAAAAAACAGTAGTTAAAGGAAACGAAAAAAGGATGAGCCATCTGTTCGATAAACGGTATATTCATCTACCAACTCAGAGATCATTACACCACCACCCAACACCCCATCTTGCCCCACACCCAGCCCTCAAACAACCCCCCACCTCACTCACAACATCAAAAAGTCCAACTCCCTATTCCTCCCCCCCGCAGGCGACGACAACGACGACCCCAACGACCCCTCACCCGCACCCGCACCCGCCCCAATCCCACTCCCCGCAGCAGCCCTCGCCCGCGCCCTTGCCCGCGCCGACCCAACCGCCTCCTCCACACTCTGCACCAGCTCGTCCAGCGTCACTGGCGTCATCGGCGCCGGCGGGACCTCGGCTGCTCCTCCTGCCGCGCCCGCGCCGCTGGTGGTGGTGGTGGTGGTGCGTGGGGATGGCGAGGTCGCGTCCGTGTTGGGTTTGAGTTTGGGATTGGGCGGTGGCTTGCCGGTCCCGTTGCTGTTGTTGTTATTGTTGGTGGTGGTGGCGGCGGCAGCGGCGGCGAGCCAGTCCATGCCGTCGGCGATGCGGACGTGGATGGTCTCCGTGCCTTCTGTTGCTGTTGTTGTTGGGTTGGAAGATGTGGTGGGGCCCGTGTCGGGGCCGAAGCCGAAGCCGACGCCAAGCTCGGTTTCGAGGGACAGCACGTAGGGGTCGCGGCAGATCGGCGTGCCGTCTGCTGTTGCGTGGGAGAGGCTGTCGCGGGGTTCGGTTGCGGAGGGGACTGGGTTGGGTTGGGGGAGTTGGGCTGGTTGGGGCGTGGTGGTGGTGGTTGATGGGGGTTCCGGATGGCTGTCCTTGGTAGTCGCCGGCGCGGCTGGCTTGGTTGGTTCAGCTAGCCAGTCTTCGATGGTCTTGTCCACCGCTGTGTCATCGTCATCAGGGACAGCAGCAGAGACTTGGTCTGGGGTATCCGTGGGAGGCTTCAGAGTTGTAATGGTGGGTTCCTTGTTGGCTGGTGCGGGTGCGTTGTCCGTATTATTCCCTACGACCGAAAGATCACCGGAGACGGTCGGGATTAGGACAGGAACGGAGGTTTCGACGTCAGCTGGTAGCCATTCTTGGGCGTTGGGGCCATCGCCACCGGTGTTGATGAAATCCACGAAAGACGCGTGGAAAAAGTCAAGGTCAAAGGTGCCGGGCTCGGAGGGTGTTTGGTCTAGTGCGGCGGGGTTGATGCTCTGGCTTTGGGATGATGCCGGTGGAGTCGGCCGGCCCTGGTCAGTGTTGGTCAGGAATGACGGGCTGATGCAGGAAAAGTCAATAGAGGACAAGCTGGAGAGCCGCCGCCGTTTGCTCTCACGGCCATCTTCCTCGATATCCTCGAGACGGCCCGTGGGCATCCGGGTGCTGGCATCAGCGGTCCACTGGCTGCCGGCAAACGCGGTGTTGCTACCCTGGTATCTGCCCACCAATGTACTGACATCAAAGCCGCCTGACTTCACCATCTCGGAGCGTATGTCCACCAGCATGGCCTTCAAGAGCTGATACATCCTCGTAGCTGGTTGGTATAGATGGCTCATTTCGTAGATGGCAGTCGAAAGCACTTGCAAATACCGTAGGTTACTGTGGTGGTCAAGCTCGGCACTCTTGTGGGCTAGAGCGGCTAACAGTGCAAGGGCGGCCGTGCCGGCATGCTGGATCGACGTTAGGACAACTCGCTTTCCGTCGAAGCGCTGGCGGTGGTGCCAAAAGATTCTGGCGATCCGGATCGCGTGCTGTGTACACATACTCCGAGACATCGATGCCCTGTTGTCATGATGGGGAAGGGGTGCCATCCACGAGGGAAGACTAGTCTCGTCTCCTTGAGAGGGCGACCCGGGGCTGGGGTAGCGAGCGGCTACCGACCCATCCAGCGACATGGGTCCGTACTTAGCCCATGGCCGGTGCAGGATGATCATGCAGACGTGGAACTGCTGGTGAAGGATGAAAAATCCCATATGTGCTGATTTGATGTTGACAGGCTTCCATGTCAGATTCTCGGGAAGCCGGCGGTACCAGTTGTGGAACAAGCGTTCCAGGCCGATAAAATGTAGATACGCCCTATCCTCGGCCGCTTTTGAGGAGAAGAGGTGGGCTGCGCCGTACGTGGAGTTTTGGAAATCAGCCACTTTGCCCGCGAGCTCCAGGAGTTCGAACATCTGTCGGTTGAGGGTGGCATGGTTTGCCACAGTCCCAAGACTTGAATCCTCAAAAGGCGACGCGGAAACCCTTGGCAGCACATCGACGCCGACATCTTGAGTCTTGATCGCGGTGGGGCGGCCCATGAGCAGTGACCACTTCCGATCGAACATGGCGCACGCTGCCATCGCCTGGCGTCTTGTTTGTCTTTCTAGCTCCGACATATCTGCCATGGTCATGTTGACGTGAAGCCCAATATCAAAAGCCAGCCGGTTCGCCATCCCTTCAACCAGTTCATTAGCATGCACAAGTAGACTGGGCTTGGCCATTACTTACCGGAATACATCCAGCCGGTGGTGTCCCGGCCCACACCACACTCCAAGTCAGCCAGCATCAACAGAGCCTGGACGCTCGGGACACCGCCAGGCCTTTCAAGCTCCGCTTCTAGCATGGTCTTGGCTTCCCTGTGCAGAGTGCTGTCCCGGTTCCCCAATGTGACGGTTTTGACATCCTCCCGATCCCAATCTGCAAAGCGGTATCCGATGGCAAGCATGGTGAGGTGGAGGAACACGGAATAAAACCGGGCGTCTTGGCTTGCGCGGCCGGCTTCGAAGGCGGGCTCGTCAACCACCTGCTGCCAAGAATTGTAGTACTCCCAGAAACACCTCATGAGATGGTCATAAGTGGCCGGCCTCAGGCTGAGGATGAATTGTTCTGCCCTGAACACGTGACTAGATTGCTCCAAGGGAGCAAAGGTATTTGCTGATTTCGCGTAGACATGGTGGTTGGCCGTGGGGCCGAAGAACCTGGTCCTCCTGGGTCCTTGGTCGAACGTATAGCTCCCCCTCGTACAAAGCAGATGGCGAGTCCCCGCCTCCGTCTTCGGTTCCACCCCTTGCAACAACAGCGGGTCGATAAGCCGGGAGAAGTTCGTGGGGCCGCCCGAGGGGAAAGATTTAAGCTGCTCCGATTCAATCATGTTGACATCCTCGTCGCCTGATGCTGGCGGAGTGGGGGGCTGATTGACGTGCGGCGCGGCCAGTTTTGGTTCTGCACTCTCTAATCGTTCACTGCCAGTCCGAACCTGGTGCTGCTCCTGCTGCCGTGCTTGTGCTTCTTGCCTCGTCTTGGGTGGGTGTACAGCCGGGGGAGGGACAACGCCACGGTCTTTGAGAAGCCCCTCCAATAGATTGATCCTATTCGACAAGGACGACATGTACGCCTTTGAAATCGGACTTTCGCGCATTAGATTGGCTGGCTAGAGTTAGACGACGGGGCAGGGGCGGTCACCTACCGTCTCCGTTCATCGTCATCCTTGATGATGCATGCAGCCCCCGTCCTCCTGCACTGAGTGCATTCGGATTCCCCCTCGCCTACCACGCACCGTATCCTCCTCTCGCGACAAGAGGCGCAAGCGATTGACGCACGATGTCGGACTTGTTGTTTCGCAGATGAGCGCGACGAGGGAGCCGGACTTGTTGCATGCTCAGAACTGGCTCTCTCACTCTCGCCTTCCGAGCGTGACCTCCGCTTTCCGTGAGCCATCGCTGTTGTTGTCATGGCCGAGGGTGTGTGTCAATTGGCCGAGGTTAAGCTGCGTGCCTATGCTACGTCGTGGCGGGGTTTTCTGTTCTGGGGCTGTTCTGGGGTATTGTGAAACGTCCCCGCGAGTCAAGGCACCGAAGGAACAAAGGCGAGGAAGGATGGGGGAGGAGGCAAAATGGCGGAATCCAAACCGGCGGATACACGCGAGCGGACCCGTGTTCGTTAAATGCGGTCTCCGTGGGCGCCGTGGACAACAGCCGTGCCAAAAGATGGAGACTTGTCAGCTACTCACAGGGGCAGCTTGCAAGCACCCCGCAGTCGCCCTCTGCTGCTTCGACCCGCCCAGCTAGGACAGGGCATCGGGCGAATTCTTGTTTGGACCAACTGGCCCACCGTTATTCCCAATAGACGCTCTCGTGGAATCCACACTTGGGCGAGTCCATGTATGTACGCTCGTGGGTTGGCTCGGGGGAATAAAACCCGGGGTTCTGGGGGCGTCGACTGAATCCACAGCCATCCCACATGGTCCAGGATGGCAACATTGGCAGTGGCAGTTCGTGCTGCGCTAAGAAATGATAGACCCCTGGCTCCTGGCTGCCTCGTGGCGGGAAGCGTCCACGGCTTTGGGCAAGTTTCGGTGATTCGGACATAGCCAAATCGCGGCAATTCGATTCGTTGCGCGAGAGCGCGAGAAATTGAGAACCCTGGGCCGATGTCGCAAGCCGATTCGCCAATGCCAGGGGTCTGAAAGACGTCGACAGGCCCAATGATGTCCCTGGCACCCCGCAAGCATCCCCGTCCAGCCTGAAATCGGGAACAACGACGGCCCCACGAACCCCACTACGTCCAAACTGCGGAGATGGGATGGAGTTTGCGGAGAGTGGTGGAGTTGTGGGACGCTCCGGTTCACAGTTGGCACGCAGAGCGAGGCTCAAGGGCAATAAGAAAGTTTACCTGTGGTCTGTTTCCACACCCAGATTGCTGGAGGGGTGCCGTAAGTGGCTGCTCTGCGATGTGACGGTGTGCCGTGTTCTCGAAGGGTAGCCGAACACATCTGCGTGGCGCTCCGGTAATGGTGGGTAAACCGTTGCAATCTTCGGAACTCGGCGGGTCCTCGGCTGAGTAGTGTAATGCGTCAGCAAGCGGAGAGGCGAGTCATCTGGACTTTCCTGCGACTGGCATTGTGTTCCAGCCATCACTAGCGTCAAGACAGAGGCTGGGGAAGTGGACCTGCCACCAACTCCCCTTGGCCACTCAAAGACTCTCGACGCTGCTCTGCCAAGGAGCGAAGTGTCAATGGTGATTTTAAGGACGTGCTCAAACGAAGGCTCCTACCACGCATATTCCTTCCCGGACCAGCAAGTCTAGAACCTGCTTCAGGTGGGCTCAAGCTGATGTTGTTTGGTGGCATTGAAGGGCTGGGCGAAGGCGAGGCCCCGGGGCAAATTCCAAATTCACAGGGTCGATCTGTGTTTTCGCCGCAAGATCTAGAGAGTATGATAACATGTAACCCGTGCTGTTGTCTCTTCAACGTCACTGGGGTGTTGTGGTGCATGGACGCATGGACTCCCCCCCCCCCCCCCCTCCCTTGGAGCACGGAAATGAAGCCTGGGGAAAGATGGGGCGCTGCAACTTTGCAGTGATGTGGAAAGTAGGGGTTCCCAGGCTCGGCTTTCGAGGGGCCAAGCTTGGCGGACAACCCCCAAATCCGGGTTAGGTGGCGCCGGAGCCTAATTGTGAGTCCGATAGCCTGCTTGAGACCACTGTTGTTTCGTCTCGCTGCTTGTACTGTGGCGGCAGTGATAAGTACTAGGCGGGGCGTTGGTGGTTGTATGGCTTACACTACGTTTGCATCAGCAACTGTGGGACGCGGCAGTTCGTGAACGGCGAATGTATGCGAGTTATTACCGCGATGCTCCGGCGGCCACAAGGTCGAAGGATTTTCCTATCACCCGAGCGCGCGCTTGAGGTGCACATGACAACAGCTTCAACGGCGGCGACAATTGCCAAACTATCACGAGGGCTTCTTTCAGGGATGGATCCCCGCGGCATGGTGACAGCGACACCTCGAGCCTAACGAGGGGCAAGTTCTTGGTCCCAACGAGTGCGGCGAACTACTTATCACCAGAGCTCGGCTCCTGTGTTGAGGACGAACCGGCGGCAACAATTCGGAGCCTGAGCTGCGGCTCGACTTTATCTTTCGCGTCAATACCAATCAATCAGTCGGCCAAGTCGGCAAGCTACTTACGTCTTTCGTAGAGGAAATACGACGTGACCAAGAAGAACGGCAACGCAACAACAAGGCGCACGTATCTGCTCGCAAATTGTTTATATTCCTTGCTCGACGTGTCCACGGGCTTTCGCGCCTTTGGCGGCATCTGGAAATTCGGATTGGGCCGCCCTTGGGGACCCGAAGACGACGATCCAACGGGTTGGGAGGTTGTCGCAGAGTGGCTGGATGCGGCGGGTTCTGGAGAATCGGGCTGTGTCGACGTTGGCTCGGTCGGGGTATTTTCGCCATCAGCGCGTACTGGTGGTCCAGTCTGCGAGGCATCGGATCTCTTGAACCTCGAAGTTCGACCATCATTGTTCGCTGTCCTGCGAATGCTGAGCGGCCGGCCGAAGGCCCGAGATGTGTGCGTCACTTGAGCCTTGCCTATCTTTCCTAGGCAAGCCATAGCGGCGATGGAGGCCCTCAATGCGTATATCGGCGCATTCCTCGCAGCG